GTCTGAGAGCACTGTCTGAACACTGAGCTGAGCATGGGTCACACTGCTTCTTTCTTACTGCATGCATATTTGTACAGTGCTGATACACCCAAGACTTCTCTCTTCCAGGCTGAACAATCCCGTCACACCAATGACTCATCACTGGACTTGCTTCAATTTGTGCACATCTTCCTCACGCTGAGGAGCCCCGAGTTGGACTCAGTACTTCTGATGCGTCTCCTCAGGGCTGAGAAGAGTGAAAGAATCACACCCTCAGCCTGCTGGTAGTGCTCTTCGTCATGCGGTTCAAGAGGCTGTTGGCCTCCTTTGCCACAAGGGTGCGTTTCTGGCTCACGGTCAGCTTGTCACTCAGGGCCTGTTCGGCAAAGCTGCTTTCCAGCTGTGGGGAAGCCTGGCCTGGTGCATGTGGTTATTTCTCCTCCCAGCATTATCTTTTGCCAAAATTCACGAGTTTCCTGTCAGCCCATTTCCCCAGCACATCCAGGTCCCTCTGAACAGCAGCACAACCACGTTCCTAACTTGACACTTGTCTACCATTCCCTCAAGTTATGTTTTCCTTGTTCGAATGTTTCGCACAGGTTTTGGAAGCCTATGGTTCCTGAAGGCAAATCTTACCAGGAAAGACAAAGGCAAAGAAAGGACTACGTTTCTTGGCCTTTTCCATGTGCTTGGTCATCAGTCCCATTCAGAAAGGAAGAGCATTTTCCCTAATCCTCTTCTTTTTTCTTCATCTGTTCACATACGCGCTCACACAGAAATGGCTCAAACAGTGTATCACAGTCCAGAAACCCCTGTCTTTTACCCCTAGAGATTCAGATGGTTTTTTTCCTCCAAAATCATATAATAAAGCACCTATCATTAGGCCATTAATCTGCCAGAAAACCAAGATGGTTTAAGAATGTATTCAAAAGTCGGACACTTAAAAAACGTACTTCAGGAGATGGGGAGAAGTTCACAGCTCTTTAGGGTGAATACGAGAAAGAAAACTGATGTCTAGTTAACCTGCAAGTAAGCCAAAAGGAGTCCTAATGTAACTGCAGAAAAGAAACTTAGCAACTAAGAACATGACTAAGAACATTGGCTGCCCAATGCCAATGATTACTTTACACTCAGTGTCAAAAAAATGAAATCGATGAACCTATTCATAATCCACACTACCTTTTTTCTTTCTTTAGTGAAAGTACTCAGTGTAGTTACTGGCTCAACAGAAGTACTTAGGAAAAACATAGACATCCTTTAAAAAGCCAAATACTGCATGTGGTAATATATATGCCTGCATGTATTGTAACAGTACTTCAACCAGCCTTCAGATAGGAACTTTAGAAACCTGAATTTTACAAGATAAATAGGGGTAAAACTGACTTGTAAAGCACAAATCATCATGTGGGAAAAATGTGCCTCAGTAATTTGCTGAACTGTAACATGGGCCTAATTCATTCGTAGTCACAGCAGCTTGTAATAACCCTTATTTTACTGGAGAACAAATTAATGCAAATTCACGCAAGGAAAAAATTTCATTATATGACAAAATCAAATGCAACTGTGGGAAGAAACTTAAAGGTCAACACTTGATGATTTGTTCCTTCAAATTACACACACCAGCTATAACTATAAGCAAAGCTTTTCTGAGCATCTGTGTTACTCACCAACATCTCTTGCTCTGCTTTCATGGTCTGGATAGCATGCACCAGTATCTTCTTAGGCCACTGCTTACGTTTTGTTGCTGTCTCTACTATCAGTTCATCAAGCTGATCTTCAAGAATTTTGATGTTGGCACCTAACAAAGTTGCAACAAAGTTATTGTAACGATGCTCCTACCTACAATGTTTCTTTTCTTTGAGACCTGAACAATTCTATGATTCTCAATGAAGATAAATACATCTGTCCTGGATCTCTAGCGAGTAAAAAATCGCCAATGCTCTAAGCGTTCTGAATCGAAGCCAAAAGTCTCACAAAGAAGTGGTTACCTTTTAGCTAACTTGTTTCTCAACTGAAAGAAACAATGCAAGCTGTTGCAAGAAAAGTGATTTGATCCGTTTAATTTTGTGTAATTTACAAGCATTGAACAAGATGCAGCTGTCCAAGCAGTAAGCTGAAGGCTAACTGACTTTGCATCATATAGAACACAGGCATACATTGTAATCATTAAATCAATCCATGCATTTTTGATAACATGTACCACCACCTTAACGAAACCTTGTTCCCAGAAATATTCCTCTGGGATGCACTTCATGGGAAGACAGAAAAGCAAAATTTAGTCTGCTTTCAAACTTTGATGCCAAAGACTGCATCTGATAGGAGCCAACTTTCACAGCCTTCTTTTCCAATCAAGATTAGGTTAAATGTGTAGAAAATGAGTATTTTGACTTCTGTTACTGTACTACAAATACTCAGCTTCTCCAAGACTGCAGTTAAACTTGACAATTTTTAAAGCTTAATGCACTGTTTTATAAGTGCCTTCAGCATTTGGACAAATAAATGCCTGCACTGTTCTGATGTCACAAGCCATCATTACAGACCATAAAAATTATGAGTTATGGAAGAAAACAGAATTAACAGCTCAATGTTATACTCTAACCTTGCATAACTGAGAATGCATAATTCTACATTCATTCATTTGCACACCTATATTTCTTTTTTCCATCAGCGGAGGCTTAAAACCCCAACAGTGGTCTTGTTTTATAATTTTTACACTGAACTTTGAAATTTTCTTAGAATTTACATTCACAGTTTCCAGTGATGTTAAACACAGCTTGCAAAGCCATGCATTATTGTCAATCTAGTGGTAACAAATGGATTTTGAGCACCCTCTCTTGGTCAAGCTGTGCAGAATCAGGTGATGATTAACCTCAGAAAGTTAAAAACAAGTTTTGAGAGTTGGTGGGATTCTTTATTTTTTTAGACTTGCCATTAAAAGAGCCAATTTAACCCTCAGTGTAACCCTCTGAGCTCAGTGATCCAGCCAGCATTTCCACCTACCTAAACTATTTCATCTTTGCTTGGATAACGGCAGAACACCAAGACACCAAGAGGCTTGGCATCTGGAGTACATGATGTATGAGAAGCATACAGGAATTTGTTCAGCATAAAGAAAGCTACAGGAGAAATCTGTTATCCTTGTCTAGTTAAAGGGTGGTTCTAGAGAGGATGGAGGCAGGCTCTTCTCAAAAGTGTGCAGCTTAAGGACAAGAGGCAACAGATATGGTGCAGTAAAGGAAATTCCAGTAGCCACAAGGAAGAAAATTTCACCATCTGAACAATCAACCACTAACTCCCCTGTGTAGAGCTGAAGCCTCCACAGTTGGATCCATCCTATTGCTTCATTTCAGCTTTAAAAATAGGTCAGCAGGCCCTGGTCCATCAGATTTTGTATACTCCCTTTATTCCTATGAGAAAAGTTATTGAAGTGGAACATGCTCTTTCCCAACCTGAATTAAAAATTATGTTTTGGAATAGCAACTTTCTAAAATCTTTCTGCAGGTTTTCTATTAAAATTAGTTGAACTTTATTTTATTTCCTATGTCAGTATCAGATGTTGTGGGTGTTTCTAAACTACTTTTCTCTAGTAAAGAACAGATCCTTTTAAGTTATTTAGGTACCATAATAGTGACAGCTAAAACTGTGCCTATCTGTAAGCACCTTGCTATAGGCATCAACCAGAACAGTGCTCCTTCTAACAAAGCTGTCTTCCCTTTTGTACTGTCACAGATACTTTTTGCTATACCTTTTAGTTGCTTTTCCCTTACAAACAATGCTCTGCAAGAACCATGTTCCTGCTGTGCAGTACTTCAGTTTTTTATACAGACGCAGCCAAGCTTGAGTTCCAATTCATCTGCTTCATGAGAGTCATTGTTGCCACTCTACTAGAGGAAGAAGTGCCCAATTAAAAATACCACATCTAAAAAAAACCCAACTATATAAACACATGTAAAATGAATGAAAGACCATACGTACTGCTTGGTTCAGAGTCAGCTGATGTCTCTGCCCAGAGCTGCCCATTAACAGTAACATTCTCTCTCACTGCTGCCTCAAAGTTCTGCAAGAGATGCATAGGCTGGAAAAGTTATGCTTTAGACACACATGTGCAACATCAGCACAGAGGACCCCTCCTGTATGAGTGCCTGGCTTGGCAGACAAGAATCACGGAATCCTTAAGATCGTGAAGATCCAACCATCAACCTGGCACTACCAACCAAGTGCAGCACTACGCCACATCCCTCAGTGCCACGTCCACGTGATTTTTAAATATCTGCAGGCAGGGGAACTCCACTATGTCCCTGGAAGGCCTGTTCCAATGCATGACAGCTCTTCCTATGAATAAATTCTTCCCGACATCCGAACTAAACCTCCTCAGCACAATTTGAGGCTGTTTCCTTACATACTATCACTTCTCCCTTTGGACTCGATGATCTTTAAGGTCTTTTCCAACCCGAGTGATTCTATGCTCACTCGTGGTGTTACCGACTCCCCTCCTCGCTGCAGCCTCCTTTCAGGCAATTGTAGAGCAATGAGGTCTCCCTCCAGTCTCCCCTCCTGCAGACCAAAACTTCCCCCAGCCCAAACAGCCCCAGTTTCCTCAGCCATTCCCTGTTTTCTGGCCCTTCACCAGCTTCTGTGCTCTCCTCGAGCGCGTTCCGTTCTTGCAGCCACAGCCCCGCCCCCCGTGCCTCTCCGCCTCTCCACCCCACGCTGACCGCCCGACGCGGCAGACCGAGCCGTAACGGTCAGCGCCAACCGGGCCGCGGGGTTCGCGGTGCCGTACCCAGATCGCGTCGTCCGCGGCTGCGGCGCCGCCCGGCTGCCCCTGCGCCAGGCCCCGCAGGAAGGGCGCGCACAGCCCCACCACCTCGTCCAGGCCGCGCCGCGAGCAGCAGCGCACCCGCGCGTCCCGCCGCTCGGGCGGCCCGGCCGCCATTTCCCGCCTCCTCCGAACTGAAAATGCCGGCCCGGAAGCACAACCCGCCACTCCCCCGCCCCTTCCCTCTCGAGGCCGAGGCCGGGCGCGGCGCGGCGGCATGGCGGCGAGGCCGGTGGACTGTCACTGCCACCTCTCCGCGCCCTGCTTCCAGTCGGTGAGGCGCCGCGGGGAGGGCGGGCGGATGGGGACCGGAGCGGCGCGGCCCGGCGCTGAGGCGCTGCGTGTCTATTGCAGGACGTGGCGGCCGTGGTGCGGGCGGCCCGGCAGGTGAGGCGCGCCCCGCGGCCCGGCAGGTGCGGCGCGCAGCGCGGCCTTCAGCGCTGTTTGTGGCTGTGACAGGCGGCGGTGGCGGCGCTGGTGGCGGTGACCGAGCAGGCGGGGGAGTTCCGCGGCGTGCTGGAGCTGTCCGACAGGTGCGAGCCGACGGCCAGGCGTCCGCGGCCCGGCGGGACTGTGATCGTGCTGCCCGCCCCGCTGCTCGGGCTTTCGGTCCCGCCTCAGACTGGCTCGGCCCGACGCTCTGTTCTAGGTTCCCGGGGTTCGTGCTGCCGTGTCTGGGCGTTCACCCTGTGCAGGATGTTTCTCCAGAAGAGCAACGCAGCGTTACTTTAAAGGTAAATTAGTGGCGGGTAGCCTGGCGCAGCTGTGATGTGCTGCTGTGTGGACGTGTCTGAGGGACAGGCTGAGCAGGAGGCACAGGAGAACCTCTTGAGGTTCAGCAGATCCAAGTTGTAAGGTCTTGTACCTGGGTCGTGGCAACCCCCACTATTGGTACAAGCTGGGGGGTGTAAGAGTGGAGCACAGCCCTGCCAAAAAGGACCTGGAGGCACTGGTGGATGGCAAGCTGCACAGGAGCTGGCAGTGCGCCCTCACAGCCCAGAAAGCCAACCGGATCCTGGGCCGCACCAAAAGAAGCACAGCCAGCAGTGTGAGGGAGGTGATCCTGCCCCTCTGCTCTGCGCTGATGAGGCCTCACCTGGAGTACTGTGTCCACATGTAGAGTTCTCAGTACAGGAGAGACATGGACCTGTTGGAGTGCATCCAGAGGAGGACTACAAGAATTATTCAAGGAATGTAATACCTTTCCTACAAGGACAGGGTGAGAGAGCTGGGGCTGTTCAGAACAGAGAAGAGAAAGCTCCAAGGAGACTTGACAGCAACTTTTCAGTATCTAGAGGGATGCTGTAAGAAAGAAGGGTACAGACTCTTTATTAGGGTCTGTTGTGTTAGGACAGGGGGACTTGGTTTTAAACTAAAAGAGAGGAGTTTCGTATTGAGATTGGATGTAAAGAAGGACTGGATGACCTTTGAGAGTCCCTTCCAACTCAAACAGTTCTGTGATTCTATGCTATGGCTGCGCTGGAGATGCAGGGGGCTGCCCTGGTCTGCCTGATTTCCAGTTAGTTGTGTTTCTGTGAAGTGGAGGACGCAGCAGACCAAACCCCAGGGCCTGCAGCATAGCATCTGCCTGTGTGACTTCAGCAGCACTGAGAGCCATCTGGCCCCAGAAGCGATGCTGCTGGAAAGCAGTTCTAAAAATCCCAAGTGAACAGCTTGCTTACAGTGAACAGAATGCATCTTGTTTGCAGATGGCCCTTTGTTAGCGTGGGACTGGGAGAATACCAGTTTTTGTCCTTAGCCTGGGGAGCTTGAAGAACTGCCTGCAGCCATGTAACATGACCAGACTATGGGCTTTGTTACTACTTCTGGTCCTATGAAAAGTTCACCTTGAAAGGAGGGGTCTTTGAGTAAAGCAGGAAAATCCTGCAGTCTTTGAAATACTGCTGATAGCTCAACTTCCAGTGATAGCACGTTTAAGGTACAAAATTTAAGAGGAGTGAAGGGAAGGGCTGATGGTACAAAGCTGGGAGAAGTGGCTGACACAGCAGAAAGCTGTGCAGTCGCTCAGCAAGACCTCTGCATGTTAGAGAGCAGGGTAGAGGGAAACCTGATGAGGTTCAGCAAGTGCAGGTATAGGGTCCTGTGCCTACGGGGGAATAACTGTATGCATCTGGTTAGGGGCTGACCTGTTGGAAGGCAGCTCTGCAGATAAGGACCTGGGGGACAACAGATAGGCCATGAGCCAGCAGTGTGCCCCTGTGGCCCAGAAATCCAAATTAATCACAACTTTGCATTTATAAAGCTTCCACCTCAAAGTCAGGGTTGCTTTTGTTCTTGCAGGATCTGGATGCAGCATTGCCACTTATAGAACTCTACAAAGATAAGTTGGTGGCAATTGGAGAAGTAAGTAGAATTCCAAAATGGGTTCAAATGTATATGGCTTTGGCAGCATCTGCCACCAGTTACAAAATCTTAGTGAATGCTTGGCTTTGTATATGTGATAAACATTGCTGGCCGTCTGAAAAAACCCCACAACTAATCAGTAATTCTCTTAACGTGCTCTCCTTCCTAGATTTGCCCAAATCCCTGCTTTCCTTCATTATATTGTTATTAGGAAATAGTTACCCTTGTTCAGGTCCTTTCTCCCTTCTGCAACACAGTTAGGCCAACCTATGGTTTCAGCATGCCTTGGTGGCTTACATAAGTCCCTTTCCCTTGTCTGTCTCTACCCACACAATGTCTATTATATTGTATTTCCTTATAAACAAACTGAAGCTTGAAAACTTTAGGGTAGAGTCCGTCCCTTTGGTATGTTGGTAGCAGAGGGGTTTGTGGCTGGTTCTTGCTGGAGGAAAGGCAATTGTTGAGAGAACTTGGCTAAACTTGTCATGTGTGAAGCCAGGAGTTGAACTTGGAGTTGATCCTTGTGGGTCCTTTCCAACTCAGGATGTTCTGTAGTTCTGTTTTGTTCCTGTACTTTAACCAGGTTTTTGGTTTGTATAACAGTAAATTTGGCTTCTTTGATGAAGTTTAAATTCTGTTTGAATGTATTTAGATAAAAAAGCTATAAAATTAATGGGTAATTTTTTTGCTAGGGATAGGACTAAGTTACAGGTTCAAGTTGGAAATTCAGCTTAGATTGGAGATCCAGCTTTGAGATTTTATCTGAAATAATATTTAATAGTATAGAAAAACTCAGAAAACTGCTTACAGATTAAAATGCTAAGTACAGTCGCTGCCTTCAAGTGCTTTCATAATTGAAAGTCTTGTCTTGAGAATGAATTCCTTTCTGAATTAAGCTACAGTGTGGCTACAACCTTCTTAATTGCCATCTTTCATAAATATGTTTTGTAATACCTTGCAGGTTTGAAACTTTTTTTTTCTTTTTCTCTGTGTGCTATTGTGATTTAGTCAAGCCTTAGACCTGTACAACTTTCTCACTTTTGTTCTTGTACCGTAGGTTGGATTAGATTTCACTCCTAGATTTGCCAGCACAGATGAACAGAAGGAAGGACAAAGACAGGTTCTGATCAAGCAGGTTGAGTTAGCAAGAAAACTGGATTTGCCTTTGTAAGTTTTACTAATAGGAGAGTTTTCCAGATCTCAGTAACCTCTGTACATTGTTCCCAGGATTTATGATTACTAAGAGCCTCCCGAACTTACATGGCTTACACTGGTATTAGTGTCCTGGCAGTCTCCAGCTTGAGATGTAATTACTGAATTTTGCCCATGAATACAGTGGAGTTCCCTAGCGTGTCTTCACAGTGTTGTTGCTAAATATTCACTGTGGCTAAAATGATTTAAATACACATCTCTAGACTTTTTTTACTCTAGTAAAAGTGCTAACACAGATTGTTTTCTTCCCAACATGCTGTTGGTTCATTGCAGCCTCCTCTAGAGAGCCTCCTTTAGCAAGGAACTGGACTAGATGACCTACAGGCGTCCCTTCCAACCCCTCTGATTCTGTGATTCTGTGGTGTATGTTTATTGAAAAATAAATACAAATACTGTTGCTTAATTTCCTAATGCCACGGCTCTCTCTCTTTCCTTTGCAGAAATGTTCACTCCCGCTCAGCTGGAAGACCAACCATTAATCTCTTAAAGGAGCAAGGTATGTTTCTAATGCATTTTTTCCCTTCTTATTTTTTGCCAACAGAATTTCCTAGAATTTCTTCAGTTTTGTAATGCTTTCCTATCATGTTGTGCCCAAGAAACTTGTGAAGAGTGGTGCGGAGATTCTGTATTCACTCTTTGGTGGGGTTGAGGTCCAGTTTGAAGTGGACACTGTGAACATGCTGTAAACCCTGCTAATAAATTGGTTTGTTTCTTTTCTCCAAGGTGCTTCAAAGGTGTTGCTTCACGCGTTTGATGGGAAGCCATCTGTAGCCATGGAAGGAGTGAAAGCTGGATACTTCTTCTCCATTCCTCCTTCCATTATAAGGAGTGATCAGGTAACACTTGAAGGGGATCACTCCTGCTCGGTGCTTGGGGACTGCAGGCAGTAGTTGGCAGCTTAACACATTGGCAAACGTAACTACATTTTTACTGTGTAACTACGTATTTTTTACTGTGCAGCTCGAAGGAATGCTTGGTTGTTTGGTTGTTTTTCATTAAGTCTATTCAGTATAAAAGACTATCATAGAGATGTGATTATAGTCACTTGATGCTTTTTGATAGAAGATCCTGCTTTCAGTTAAAACTGCCTTTTTACTTTGGTTATGTTTCTGTCTGGGACTTTTGCCATAGCTGGACATTTGGGGCAGAAATTTTGGCTAAAACAATTCAGCTATTCATGAGAAGCAATCATTAAGAAAATGAGCATTTTTTTTCCCTCATTTTATTGTATTCTGATGAACTTTTCTTCGGACATTTTTGATTCTGTAATGCTCTAGAGCAGGGAGGTGACACATGGAAAAGCACTAGTTTCTATCTCACTGCTATGGCACTTCTTGTTCAAAAGGAAATCCCCTTACAGTTGGCTAAGTTACAGGTCTTTGAGAAATGCTGATTAGTCCATGGCACGCTGCTCAAAGCATCAGCTACACTGCTTAAGATCAGCACTGGCCAGTTTCAGCCCTCGACTCAGTGAAATGCTGCTTCTGTTTCTACTGTGGGCTGCTCAAACTATGCTGACTTCTCAGATCAGTCAGCAGTCTGCTTCCATCCTGCACCATCATCATTTTCTGTGATAAGCTCAGGAAATATACGACGAGAAAAGGCATCAGTCAAGTGGGAAGGTTGTGAGGGTGGATATGGTTGGGGATGAGGGCAGGAAGCTGCAGAAAGGAGAGCAAACTGGAGCTGAATGGTGAAAGCAGAAAGGGGAATAAAGATATTAAAATGCTGTATATACAGAAAAGTGGTAGACTAAAACTGCAATGACAATCTGATTCTGTGCAATATTACCACATTATTTGATAAAGTAATAAAGGATCCAGTATTCAGGTAAAAGTGCTTCAGATGTTCAGAGTCACAAAAAATGAGATAATTCTTTTTTTAAAGGGACATCTTGGGCGTTTCCTGGTATTCTTGCTGCCATTCTGAATTTGCTGATAGTATACTGACAGTGGCATCAGAGTCTTTCAACATTGCTTTTAAGTGCAGAGCTTATCTTTATATCTTATATTTTTTTTCCCACAAGTGTAAGTGCATAAAACATTTAATGGTTCTCTTTACTGTCTTCAAGAAGCAGAAACTTGTGAAAGTGTTACCTCTGGAAAGTATATGCTTGGAAACCGACTCCCCTGCTTTGGGGCCTGAAAAACAGGTAAATGGTGGGGGGGATTTCTATGTTTGTATATCCACAATGACTCCTCGTCCTTGTGGAGGTTAGTTGCTAGCACGGGAGAGAGGAGGAGTGTAGGCATTGACAGGGGATGAAGGAGATTGCCAGGTGGAAATTTTGAAATACACAATTCAGAGAAATAGCTATAGATATAAGGGGAATAAGATTCAAGGACAATAGATACCTGTAATTTCTGTACCATAGATAGGTACAGTGTGACTGAAGGTGTGTCAGGAAGTGAATCCGAAGCACTTGCCACCTGGAGGGATCTGTTATTTGCTCTGTTTGATTTTTATTTTTGTTTTTTTTTAATCCAGGTGAGAAATGAACCAAAAAATATTTACATTGCTGCAGAATATATTGCTAAAATTAAAGGAATTCCAGTTGAAGAAGTTATAGAAGTGACGACACAGAATGCACTGAAAGTATTCCCCAAACTTCGTAACTTCCTTCAGGTATAGACTTAGAAACTGATGTTGTTGAAACTATTGGTTATGATGTAATAAATAAAACCAACACACATCTTGGCCTTGAGTTTTGCTATCAGAGAGGTCAAGAAGTGAGCATGGTGTTGCACAGATACAATTCACAACAAATATACTGAGTTCATCAGAGGTTTTCTGTGTACAGCATTATTGGCTCTTCAATGTGATAAAGATACGTTGTTCTTCATTCCACTGACTGGAAGTCACTTGTCTGTGGCCCTGCTAGGACCTGCTTGAAAACCCCAGAAGGATGGAAGTGCTGAGTGTCAGTAAGACAGGGCTCTGAGCCGGGCAGGTGTAGCAGCTCCAATTCTTTTTGATATGCAGCTTGAGGGAAAGAATGGCAGTCCTTCTACTTTCCCCCTCCTTTTCCCTTGCTTATAGTAACTTAACAGTTGTTCAGATCTTGGTTATTTTGAGAGGGGTGTGCTTTTATTAGTTTTTGAATCGCTCTCAAGGGAAGAACTTAGGATTTGGTCTTATCTGCAGGCCTACTCTTCTGTCTGCCCCGTATCAGGATGTGAAAGAGCAACAAGTCCAGTGTTCTGAGATCTTAGAGGGACTTGTCTGCTGTGGATTCGGCTATGACTGCCAGTGTTCTAAAAACTGGATATTGTGTTGTCTCACAGTACCTTGCATGAACTGAAATGTGCTGAAATACTGGGCTGAAATTTGTATTGACTTAAACAGTGAAGAGGTGAATTACAAATAACACTTGTTCTGAGGGCCAGGTAGGGAGGTACAGGCTTTGTTTCCCTGGGGGTTCTTGGATTTTTGGTAGAAAATCCAAGAGCAAGAGTATTTGGCTTTAAGATTGGGCACACAGACCATTTTCCAGGTTAGGCTTCTTCTTGTCTTCTTGCTTAAGCATCTTCCTGAATGCCCCTTTGGAAAGTGGTTCGTAATGCCCTATTCTGAATTCATCAGATGTCTGCCTTTCTGTGGGTTGGATGAGGAGGAGACAGAATATTGTCTTGATTGGCATATCAGGTTGCTTGCAGTAAATAGCTTAGAGCTGACTACTTCTGCCTTATAGGTCAAGAAGAAGGTTTTGTTTTGTTTTTTATTTGCTGTTTTGAGGATTAGGATGGAGAAGGTGTCAGCCATCCAGTAAAATAGAAATGGGAGCAAAACCTTGTGGTATAAGGCATACCCACACTGTGGTATTCTGCATTCTGCACTGTGGTAAATGCAATTCTGGTCTACCCAGAATTACTTTATCAACTTTAAATATTTGTTTCTAAGCAGTCTTGCAGCACACAACAAAACTTGAAGAATTGGTCTGTGTTACAGGGTGCGTGCAGATCAGCACAGCTTGAGTCTCCTGAAGCTTTGACCCAGAGTAGTTAGGGCCATTTGTTATCCTGGTCTACAGGCACCAGTTCCACTGAAGTAGTGAATGATGCAGTTTGCCTCCAGGTGGTGCTAGGGAACAGGTGTGCCATAGTCCTGAATTATATGATATTAATGATGTCACAGGAGATGCTAAGCAGGTGATAACAGGCTACCTTACATGTGATTCGTTCTGACTGTGAAGCATGGGAATGCAATCATGTATGGAGAAGGAGAAGGAGTTGTACCAGCTCTGGGGTGCTATTTGGTTGGCTTTGCTAGCCCTGCACCTGCAGCTGGCACTGAGGGCAGCAGGCTCTGGAAATAAGTTTGTTTCTTTCACAGGAGAACAACTTTTCTGTGTGTGGCAAAGAGGTTAAGCACATGTGTGCTGAATGCTATTGCAGCCAGTGTGGTTGTCGGGATGAATCCTGTCCCCTTCCTGTGTAGCATGGGCTACTGGAGTAGCCAGGAGTGTGCTGAGGGAGAGATCCAATGGAAGTTCAGCTGAGTGTCAAGTTGAGCTTTCAGGAATCCTGAGGGGAAACGAGAAAGCTCAGAACCAGTGGAGATGCAGCTTTCCTGTTCTGTCATGCCTTTAGCTTGCTGGGCCAGTGGCAGCGCCACTGAGCTCTCACAGCACTCCAGGAGCAGAGCAGTGCTTGCGTGTCCCCAGCTTTGTGTCTGTGAAAATCAGGCCACAGAAATATTAAATGAGCTGCCCAGTGGCTCCTGAGGTTCCCAGCAATATGAAGAATGGTCATTTCTGAGCAATACCCTCAACAATCATTCTCCCCTTGGATACTCCTAACAGCAGACCTGGTAGTATGGCTTTTCTTGTCTGTCTTGAAGACTCTATGTGGAGTGATAGAAAAATGAAGAAAGGTTTGTGATTTTTTTTGTAAAAAAATAGTGCCTTCGGGGTGCCTCATTCATTACTCAGCGCTCAGTCTTTGGTGCAGCTCTGGTGGCTACAGCTCCTGCTGGAGGAAAAGCCCCGTGTCATTGGTGCTTTCCAAGTTTAAAAGGCAGCACACAGATGGGCATGAGGAACTCCCATGTGTACAGGATTACAGTGAATGCATCGCTCCACACATCATGAGGAGGATGCAGGGTGACAGTGATGTGAATGTACTTTCCACAGGGTGAGCTTGCCGTTCATTTCTGGAGGGCTGCAGATGCAGCAACCTCGCAGGGCCCTTCTGAAACTTCCCTTGAAGGCTTGCTTCTGCCAAGTACTGGGGCAAGCTGTGAGGCTAAGTAGTTTTTCAAGATTTTAATGTGGGAACAAGTGAGGAGGTGACAATAAGGCTAAGCAGATAAGATGTGTTATCCTGTTACTCACTGTGATAAGAGTTTGACCAAATTGACCAAAGGCGTTTGCTGGAAGTGTTTTCAGCTGGCTCCTACGCAGTGCATGGATAGGCTCTTTAGAAGCAGAAACAGTAAATAATTGGCTGGAAATGCAAGTTTTATCACTAATGAGTTTCTGCTTTGGTTTGTTTGTTTTTTTTTTTCATTAATGCTGACTGGGGCCTTTGTTTCCATTACAAAGCAGGAAAATGAATTTGAGAAAGTTACTGGCTTAGCAGAAAGGTTTGTTATCCTTCTCTTTGCTTTCTATATAGAATTAAAAAAGACACAATTGGGATCAAAGAAAAGTTACAGGCTGCCACAGCACCTCATTGTCTCAGTGCTTTCCTTTCCAGCAGGTGGTTATCCCTCTCTTTGTGCCCCAAGACTGGTTTTCAATGGACATGAGCTCCCTTCCTGCCCTGAGTGCTAGCCATCTTTTGTGTCCCTGCTCCTGTGAGTCGTGGAACTGTGGAAAAATAATGGTGGAGAGAAAAAAACACTGAGGCACTAGGACATGCAGCCCACTCTGTCCAGAGCTGTTCCTTGTGGCACCGTGATGGGTTACACTTGGGTTTTGTCTCCATTAATGTTAGGAGGGCATGTTAGGATCTTGGGTTTATTTTGGCTGTGCCAGGGCTGTGTGTTCTGAGTAGTTAAACCTGATGCTTGGCTTCTTATCAGCCCACCCTCAGCACAGATCAGACAGTGTCTCTGTGTTAACAGAAGAGAACACACTGCACAAGTAGCACAGAGATTTTCTTTCCAGGGGATCTGGGACCTCCACACTATAGCAGTCCCACTCTCTTGCATGTGCCCTGTGATGCTCCCAGTACAGCCCTGCAGTCCCACCCCACTCCCAGCTGCTTCATTCCTAGCTCCCCATGCATTTTCCTCATCCCTATTGTGGTACTACCCTGTGGGACCAGACCTCCTTGCACTACACTGCCATGGCTGGGAAACTGGAGGGCTGGGGGTTATCTGGCAGGAAGGCCTGTCCTTGTGATGTGCGCTGCTGGAAAGGGAGGCTTTGAAGTTTCAGTTGGCCCAGGCTTGTTGCTATAAATACAGAGAGAGAGCACTTTGAGCTCAGAGTTTTTCTGGACACACAACAAAGAAGGAGGAAGTGAACAGAGCACAGTAGGAAGAAGTTAAATGGAGTACCATGTGGGGAGCTCCCATCAAAGCACCCCTGGATAACTCCCCTTCTGTTTTGTGGGACTGTTCCTGCCTGGGGAGCTCCGAGTGGAAGCTGAGCTTTGTGCTAGCACCATGTAACCTGCACATGTGGATGTCAGTACTCTCTGAAAACATCCACTGCCAATCCACGTATGTATGTGGGACTTTATCTGAAGAGGCTCCTTGTATCAGGATGTTCAGAATCTGGAATGAGGCATCTGCACAAAACATTTTCACACACAGTAAGCCAAAGCAAGCACTGAAGTATTTTACTGCATACACAGTGATCCACTAAGAGATCCAAGAAGGACAATTAGCCAGCACATCTCAGATTGGCTATAAGGTACTTTATGGGCTTTCCACCCTGTCTCCCCATGGAGACCCCATGTTATGGTTCTTAACTGTTTTTCATTAGTACCCGTCCTCTTGATGGTAACCAGGTTATACTTATCTGATGGGACCTCTCAGGGTTTATACATGTGACAGTCCCAGCTTTGTCCCAAGCTGCATGACACAGCAGAGGAAAGGTCCTCACTGAAGCAAGTGGAGAGAAAAGATAGAGAGATGCTTTCTCTCTATGGGACTTTGCCAGTGATCTCCTAATGCATGGCTGCACCACCCGGCATGCCTCTGGGCTACTTGTTCTTAGAAAACCCCATCTGGACTCCAGCTTTCAGCCCTTGATAGGTGACTTAGGATGGAGGATGAGAGAGAGGTACAAATCTTGTTCTTGTGTAGATCTCTTAGTGCGTTAACACCCATAGCTTAGTTGTGTTATTTTTGTGTAGACTAACAAGCCTTTAGAAACAGATTGTTGTAAGGAAGATCTGTATCTGTTTGAAAGCCCTTCTTCTGTTGCAGATAGCAGTTCTCTACCCAGTGGGTCAATATTTAGGAAAAAACACCGGTTACCACCACCAACAAAAAGGTCAGTTTCATAAATATGAACCTCAGGAACATCAAGATCAAATTTCTCTTGTTTTTATATGCGACTGTGTTGCTGTATATAAGCATGCTGTGTGCACTTCGTTCACGTGGGGAAGGATCACAGCTAAATCTACACAGGTGCCCAGAGCACTAACAATAAAAACAAACGAATCTAGTACAGCGTTTCCAAAGATTTTCTTAAACTTCAGATAGGTGCAAATAGGAGCAAGAAGGAAATAGCATTTT